GCCTATATAGTGTAAACACAAATTTGTTTGTGTGTGTGTGTGTGCATGTTTTTTTTTTTTTTTTTGAGATGGAGTTTCACTCGTTTCCCAGGCTGGAGTGCAATGCCGCTATCTCGGCTCACCGCAACCTCCGCCTCCTGGGTTCAAGCAATTCTCCTGCCTCAGCCTCCCGAGTAGCTGGGACTACAGGCGCGCGCCACCATGCCCAGCTAATTTTTGTATTTTTAGTAGAGATGGTGTTTCACCTTGTTGACCAGGATGGTCTCATTCTCTTGACCTCGTGATCCACCCGCCTCAGCCTCCCAAAGTGCTGGGATTATAGGCGTGAGCCACCGCACCCGGCCTTGTTGTTTTTTTTTTAAAGACAGGATCTTGCTATGTTGCCCAGGCTGCAGTGCAGTGGTTATTCACAGGCGTGATCCCACTACTGATCAGCACGGGAGTTTTGACGTGCTCTGTTTCCGACCTGGGCCGGTTCACCCCTCCTTAAGGAACCTGGTGGTCCCCTGCTCCTGGGAGGTCACCATATTGATGCCGATCTTAGTGCGGACACCCGATCGGCATAGTGTACTACAGCCCAGAACTCCTGGGCTCAAGCCATTCTCCAGCCTCAGCCTCCCAAATAACTGGGACTACAGGCACGCGCCACCACATCCGGCAGATTTGTTGTTTTTGTTTTGTTTTTGAGATGGAATCTCTCCCTCTGTCGCCCAGGCTGGAGTGTAGTGGCACCATTAGTTTCCTATAATAATGTTCCAAAGAACATATCTGGCTGGGTGTGGTGACTCATGCCTGTAATCCCAACACTTTAGAAGGCCCAGGCAGGAGGATCACTTGAGGCCAGTAGTTTGAGACCAGCCTGGGCAACATAGGGAGACCCTGTCTCTACAAAAAAACAAAATAGTATGCCTTGGCATGATGGCTCACGCCTAATAATCCCTGCACTTTGGGAGGCCAAGGCGGGTGGATGACTTGAAGTCAGGAGTTTGAGACCAGCCTGGCCAACATGGTGAAACCCCATCTCTACTAAAAATATAAAAATTAGCTGGGTGTGGTGGCAGGTGCCTGTAATCTCAGCCTCAGGAGGCTGAGGAGGCAGGACAATCACTTGAACCCAGGAGGCAAAGGTCGCCGTGAGCTGAGATTCCACAATTTCACAAAACTTTCGCAAACAGCTTTTTGTTCCAACCCCCCTGTATTGTCTTGGACACAATTTGCATAAATCCTGGGAAGTTATTACTAAGCCTTAGTCCCGGGCCTCCATGGGGTTATGTATAAAGGCCCCCTGGAGCTGGGCCCCAAAACAACCCAGAGCCTGCAGCCCAGTCCCACCCAGACCCATGGCTGGACCTGCCGCCCAGAGCTCCATGAAGCTGGTGAGTGTCTTGGTCCAGGATGGGACAGCTGCCCGCCCTGGCATGGGAGGGAGGCTGGCATGGCAGAGGGGCTGGGGATCCCTGTTCTGGGAATGGGGATTAAAGGCGCCGGTGTCCCCGAGAGGGGACAGCATGTCTCCTGAGCCCACTCTGTCCCCAGCCCTGCAGCTGCTGCTATGGCACAGTGCACTCTGGACAGTGCAGGAAGCCGCCCCTCTGGGCCCTGCCAGCTCCCTGCCCCAGAGCTTCCTGTTCAAGGGCTTAGAGCAAGTGAAGAAGGTCCAGGGCGATGGCACGGAGCTGCAGGAGAAGCTGGTGAGTGAGGCTTGCGGGAGGGCTGTGAAGGGAACCCTGGTGGGGAGAGCTAAGGGGGATGGAACTATGGGGTCAACATCCTCTGGAAGGGACTTGGGGGAGTATTAGGAAAGATGGAGCTGGGGAAGGCTGGAAGGGACTTGGGGAGGAAGTGCTTGGTGCGAACAGTGCTAGGGAGGGCTGGCTGGGATGGGAGTGTGGGTATCACTGTCAGGAGAAGGGACCAGGACCCCTATGAGATCACAGGGTGAAGGTACAGGGCAGAGAGGGACCAAATGGCCTGGCAGAACGTGGAGGGAGGGGAAAGACCAGAGAAAGGGAGGACCCGGGAAGGAGGAGTGGCGACCCGGCCAGGAGAAGTCTCACTCAGCATCCTTCCATCCCCAGTGTGCCACCTACAAGATGTGCCACCCTGAGAAGATGGTGCTGTTCGGGCACTCTGTGCATCCCCCAGGTTTCTGTGAGCAGATGCCCCAGCCAGGCCCTACAGCTGGTGAGTGTCAGGAGGGGACAAGGCTAATGGTGGGGGCAAGGAGAGGAGGGACACACCTGGCTCCCCAGGTATCCAGGCTCCAAGCTGGGGGCATGACTGGAGTGTCTCCAGCAGCACCCCCTAACTCTCTGCTCTGTCCCCCAGACAGGCTGCTTGAGGCAGCTCCACAGCCTCTTCCTCTACCAGGGCCTCCTGCAGACCCTGGAAGGGATCTCCCCCGAGTTGGCCCCCGCCTTGGACATGCTGTGCCTGCACATCGCTGACTTTGCCACCACCATCTGGCAGCAGGTGAGCCTTGTTGGGCAGGGTCCCCAAGGTCATGTTGGCACTCCAGGCACTGCAGCTGGGCCTGTGTATGGGCCCTGCCCGTGCTGTCAGCCCCCAGCGTTTCCTCATTTGTAATAATGCCCACCCAGCAGGGCCCAGCCACTGATTGCAGCTTTCCCCCCACAGATGGAAGAGCTGGGAACAGCCCCTGTCCTGCAGCCTACCCGAGGCGCCACACCAGCCTTGCCCTCTGCCTTCCAGCGCCGGGTGGGAGGCCTCTTGGTGGCCTCCCATCTGCAGAGCATCCTGGAGTTGGTGCACCGAGTTCTACGCCACCTTGCCCAGCCCTGAGCCAAGCCCTTCCCATCCCATGTATTTATTGCTATTTAGTATTTAAGCCTCATATTTAAAGACAGGGAAGGGCAGAATGGAGCCCCAGGCCTCTGTGCCCTTCCCTCCATTTCTGAGTTTCATTCTCCTGCCTGTAGCAGTGAGAAAAAGCTCCTGTCCTCCCATCCCGTGGACTGGGAGGTGGATAGGCAAATACCAAGTATTTATTACTGTGACTGCTCCCCAGCCCTGCACGGCTCTGCAGTGGGTGCTGGGACAAGCCACAGTGGGCCCTGGTCCCCAGGGTCCGCACCTGGGGCCCTTGAGAGTATCAGGTCTCCCATGTGGGAGACAAGAAATCCCTGTTTAATATTTAAACACAGTGTTCCCCATCCGGGTCCTTGCACCCCTCACTCTGGCCTCAACCGACTACACAGCGTGCCCTGCATCCCCTTGGGCGTGAGGTCCCTGGACAAGCAGAGGCAGCCAGAGCTGGGAGGCATAGCCCTGGGGTCCCTTGTTTTTATTAATCTGCTGGGGAATCTTGTTTTTTTTAAGACTTTTGGGTCACGTTTGACTTCCCACATGAGAGCCCAGACATCACTGACGTGTGATGCCCATTTTTCTGGTGCCCTCGGGACACCTGCCCTGCCCCCACCAGGGTCGGGACTGAGACTTTTTCAGGCTGGCAGGTGCCTGGACATTCGCCTTGCTGGACAGGGACTGGGAATGTGGGAGGGAACAGACAGGAGGAATCGTGTCCGGCGTGTGTGTGAAAGGAAGTTTGACCGACTGTCACCCTCCACCTGTTCACCCCCCACTCACCGGCGTCCTTTCCACTGTCACATTGTAACCGAGCTTCAGGATAATAAAGTGTTTGTCTCCAGTCATGTCCTTCCTTCTTCTTCTTGAGTCCAACTGGGACCTGGCCAGAGGCTGGGGAGGTGGCTGAATGGTGGAAGACACCGGAGGGAGCCACGGAGGAGACGCAGGGAGGAGGAAGGTTCCTGAGCTCATCTGACACTCATATATAGACATATGGAATACACATGTATGTATATATGTTAGCACTGTGCAGACGCTGGGCTAAGTGCTGGAGACACAGCAGGGAACGAGGCAGATGTGGCATCTGCACTTGAGCAGCCACAGCCTTGTAGGGAAGACAGGCACCGGGACCATGGGAACAGAGAGAGCCTGGGGTCAGGGTGGGCTTAATAGGCTGGACACAGTCAGACGAGATGAAGCCAGGGGGCGCTGAGCTTCCACACCAGCCTTGTCATTTACCATCTTCCATAAACTTGAGCCCATCCATCAAGTTGCCCACAAAGAGGAAGCCAAGTTCAAGTTGGCCACTGGGATCAGAGCTTCTCTCCTTGTCAGGCTCACTCTCTGCACTCACCCCAGCTGGCCACTTCCTGCTTGCGGCAGCCCCATGGGCTGAAGAGGGCTGAGCTCACAGCCCAGGAGGGTGGGGAGCTGTGATGAGTGGGGGTCCAGAGGCCACACCACAGGTGTGAGGCCTTCCTGCAGCCAAAGACTCCTGTGGGGTGCTCCTGCCAGCCCCCCCGCACCTTTCCACCATCTGCCCAAGCCACTTCTTAGCTCCTCGGTCCCTCCCATCTCCCCTGCCCTGCCAGTGGCTCCTGGAAAGCAGGGTCAGAAGCACCCACTGCCAGCTCGGAGTCCTCCATCTAGCGGCTCAGAGATGTGTGAAGTAGGCAAGGAAAGGTTACAAGAAGGTCCAGCCCCCTCATCCCCCGCCTCCCACTAGCTCCCCCGTCCTTTTCTGGAGGCAACAGATCATATCCCAGGCTAGTCAGTGTGGGCGGTGTTGGGCCAGGTTCAGGAGACAGAAGAGCAGGCCACCCTGCCCCAGCACTGTGAGGTCCTGGGATAAAGCCTCTCCCTTTTCAGGGTACAGCTAGCTGGCTTTGGGGGAGGAGTCAGCAGGCAAGCCAACTTGGCTCTCAGAAAGGGAAGCTGTTCTTCCCCCAGCCCTTCCCCAGCTGAGCAAGCACACATAGGACCCTGAGCCCTGCGCCTCAGCACCTCTTCCTCCTTCTCCTCCTCCTCCTCCTCACCACAGGAGTGAGCTGCTCCCACAGCTGGTGGCAGGTGTGCTGTCCCAGGAAGAAAGAGACCCCTCCTGCCACAGCAGGGAGTCCAGGGAGAGGATGCTGTGCCCTGTCCCCGATGGCACTGACACGAACAGCACTCAGTCACAAAGGGATCCATGAGCTTTACTTACAAATAAACAAAGGTAGACTTCCCTCACGTATTACCAAAAAAAAATACATGTACATATATACACACTCTGCATCTAGAAAGTTCCTCAGAGATAAGACTGCTCCTGGACTGGGGTGGGCGAACACGGGGTGACCGTGGGGCCGAGGGGTCAGGCTGCTCACGCTCCTCATGTACTGGCAGACTCAGAGGAAATTTCGAAAGAAGAAACAGGGAGACATCCTGGAGGTCAGGAGTCAGGAGCAGGAACGGGAAGCTGCGGGGGCTCTTGCACCATGTAGGGCAGATGTGAGCCACGATGCCTCATCTCTCCTCACTGTTCCCCTTGAAGGCGCCTGGGCTGGGCCCATCCCCAGCCCCCACTGTGGCCACACCAAGGCCCTCAAAGTGCAGCAATGGCTTTAGCAGCCACCTGGCGGCCCAGGGGCAGGCTGAGGTCTGTAATGGCCAGAATCACCTTGGGGCTGGACATGGCTGACACCTTCACCAGTTCCGACACCTGCCAGACAGACAGATGCTGCTTGCAGGACGGCTGGTGGCAGGTGTGCTGTCCCAGGAAGAAAGAGGCCCCTCCCTGCACCAAGGGCTGCCTGAGGCCCCAGCACCCGCGGGAGAGCAGCGAGGGCAGTACTCACAGTGGTGAAGGGCAAGAACTGCAGGACACTGCCCCGGCCACCCTGCTCCAGGCAGTCCACACACTCCTCCATGAACCACTGCATGAACTGGGTGTGAGGGCCAGCGGTTCGAGACCCCAGGATGGAGGAGATGAGCAGGAACAGGTTGGCTGTGGAGAGTGGGGGGAGAGTGACAGAAGGGAGTTCCATGAGAGAGGGTGAGGTCAGGCTCTGGGAGAAGGTGGGACTGAAAAGGGAAAAGAAGGACGTGCTGAGGATGCCCCCAAAACAAGGGGTCAGAGAGAAAATATAAAAGGCAACTGGGGAGGGGAGAAGGGGGAACTAGACAGGAGCCTGGGGGCCAGGACAGCCAGCAACGAGGGGCATGAGGGGAAGGGAGGGGCACCGGGAGGCCCCAGGTTCAGCAGCAGGGTGGGACTCACCCAGGACTCGGTTCAGAGGGTCCCTCATGTTGACCGTGTGGAGCTGAGAGGCTGACAGGGAGCTGCTCATGGACCGGTCTGCTGTGGGACGGAGCAGATGGAGCGCTGGGAAACAGCCTGCCAAGTGCAAAAGCAGTGCTCCCCAGGGACGCCCCCACCCAACTTCACCCAGCGGATGTAACTGGTATATGGAGAGCCCAGAGAAGACCCTGAGATCAAGAGCACAGAGGGAGGCTGGGCACCATGGCTTACTCCAGTCATCCCAGCATTCTGGGAGGCTGAGGCAGGAGGATCGCTTGAGCCCAGGAGTTTGAGACCAGCCTTGGCAACTAGCGAGACCCCATCTCTACAAATAGTGTAAAAATTAGCTGGGCGTGGTGCCAAAGCCCATAGTCCCAGCTCTTTGGGAGGCTGAGGCAGACTGCTTGAGCCTAGGAGAACAAGGCTATAGTGAGCCGAGATGGTGCCACTGTACTCAGCCTGAGCTACACAGCAAGCCCCTATCTCAAAAAAACAGGCGGGGCACGGTGGCTCATGCCTGTAATCCCAGCACTTTGGGAGGCTAAGGCAGGTGGATCACCTGAAGTCAGGAGTTTGAGACCAGCCTGACCCATATGGTGAAACCCCATCTCTACTAAAAATTCAAAAATTAGCCGGGCTAGGTGGCAGGCACCTGCAGTCCCAGCTACTCAGAAGGCTGAGGCAGGAGAACTGCTTAAGCCCAGGAGGCGGAGGTTGCAGTGAGGTGAGATCACGCCACTGCACTCCAGCCTGGACAACAGAGAGAGACTCCAACTCAAAAATAAAAATAAAAACGGCACAGAGGAGCCTCGGATACAGGGAGATCCCAATGGAGATGAGAGAGAAAAACCAACATGTAGTGAGCACACAGGGCCAGGGGCCGGTCTTGGCATTTCCTCCTCACAACACGCCATTTATAGACGAGAAACCCAGACGGGGACTGGCTCAGTCACGAGCTAAAGGTCACAGGGCTTATAGGTGGCAGACCTAGCATCTTTCTCCTGTTTGTTTGTTTTTTTGAGACGGAGTTTTGCTCTTGGTACCCAGGCTGGAGTGCAATGGTGCGATCTCGGTTCACCGCAACCTCCGCCTCCTGGGTTCGGGCAATTCTCCTGCCTCAGCCTCCTGAGCAGCTGGGATTACAGCCACGCACCACCATGCCCAGCTAATTTTTTGTATTTGTAGTAGAGACGGGGTTTCACCATGTTGGACCAGGATGGTCTTGATCTCTTGACCTCGTGATCCACCCGCCTCGGCCTCCCAAAGTGCTGGGATTGACCTCGTGATCCACCCGCCTCGGCCTCCCAAAGTGCTGGGATTACAGGCTTGAGCCACCTCGCCCGGCTGACCTGGCATCTTTCTTCTGATCAAGTGTGTAGTTGGTCCCATAGTCCCTAAAAGCCTTCAGAAAAACATCCAGGCTCAGGAGAAATCTCTGAAAACAGGAAAATTTAAATGCCATAGAAGGAGTCCTTGACAGGAAGCCTGGCAGGGAGGAGAGGACAGTGAGAAGGATAACCTCCAGGGAAGTAGTGGGGCCGTGCTCTTTAGGCGGGAAGGTGGGGAGTAGCCCTTAGCCCCAGCCTGGGCCTCTCCAGGCATGTTTGGGGAAAGGAAGGAAGGTCAGAGCTGGTGAGTCAATGGTACAGGCTGTGCCTGAGCCAGTGAACTCACTTGGGTAGCTTGTCATCCCCTCAACCCTGGGGTAAGGAAGGGGGCAGGGGGCTGGGGTGGAACTATGGGCCAGGCCGGACCTGAGCAGAGGAGCTTCAACCCTCAGGGATCGAGAACAGCAACGTCTTCTCCAGGGGCAGGACACAGAGCACCCCCGTGGGGGATAGATCAGCACAAGTCCCTGCCATACCCTCTCTGACCAGCTGCAAAGATGCCTCCAGCTGGGGCAGCGGCAGAGCGGCAGCATCAGGGAGTGAACACCCAGGAAAGGGAGCAGCGTGCCGCCAGCCCACACACTCACTGGGGCTCGAAAGGACGTTGGCGTCATCCTCATTGGAGCTCAGCAGTCGCATCAACTTCGAAGGCTGCACGTCGGCCGGGGGAAGAGGCTGATGTAATCCTAGAGGGTGTGAGAGTCACTGTTATATACTCCTAAACCCCTCAGTTTCCAGCTGTCAAGGAAAAGAGCTGGAGCTCCAATTTGAGTGAGGTCAGCACGGCCAGCAGGGTCTCAGCCCCTCTCTCCTCACGCCCTCCCACAATCCTACAGGCCCCTCGTACCCACAGGCAGTCTGGGGCCATACGAGCCACCCGAAGATCCCTGACTAATCACACCACATCTGCTTCCCTCAGGAAGTGCTGAATCCTCAGGAAATGAACAAGTGAACGGAGGGGCCCTACCTCAATGTCTTCACGGTGTCTCTTCTTCTGGCGGGTGGACGCCTGTCCCTTGTGGGAGGAGTAGGAACTGAGGGCACACCTCACGGCCAGCCTGGCAAAGGGTTCCAGAAAAAGGGGGACAGTCAGAGAAGCCACAGGGGCTTTCTGTGTCTGACTGGGCTCCCCAAAGCCTGGTCCCCCAGGGTGGTACCAAGCTCTAAAGAGAATCCTACTTGGCAAGAGCAGTGCCCGGGGGGACCATGAGGCTGTGCCACTTGGAGGAGTCAGTGAGCAGGCCAGGCAGGATGTGGCCCAGCAGGACCAGGGTCACTTGCTGCATGTCCAGGCAGAAGATGGAGTAGAGCAGCTCTACTGCCCTCAGTGTGTGCTCCTTCCACGCCTCCTTCAGCAGCTCCTGGTGCACGGAAACGGGGGAAGTTTAGGAGCTGGGGGTCCCGGATCTGAGGCGCTGACATCCTGCTACTCCAGCATGGCTGTCCAGGAAGGCCCGCAGAGGGGCTCCAGGTGCTGCTGCACCCCTCAGGCCGAATCCCAGCCTCTGGCCAGAGCTCCCCAAGGAGGCAACCCCAAGGCGAGGCATCCCCAGGGAGCCATCCGGCTCACCGCAGTCTCTCAGGGAAGTCTGGCTGACCAGGCCAGGTGTGGGGAACCAGGGCACAGGACCCACGTCGGCCCACAGCCACTCCAGCCCAAGTACCTTAATCAGGTTGTTGCCGAACCAGTAGACACCACCCATGTGCAGCAGGGTGTCGAAGATGTGGATGGAGCGGCTGTCCACCCAGCCCTTCTCCAGCACCTTGGCAAGATGTCTGTCAGCACCTCCTTGATGGGTCGCTTGGGGGGCAGTAGGTTCCAGTAGGGCATCGTGTCCACCCCAGTGGAGGGAAACTTGATCTGCGTGGCTGTCTGCTGCAGCACATCCGCGCACATGCGCTCCAGGATGGAGTTCATGATCACTACCCTGGGGGGCCGAGAGGACCTGAGGCTCAGGTGCCACTGTGGGGCGGGGAGGGGAGGGGAGGTGAGGAAATACCCACGCCAGACTTTCCCCTGGACTTGGGTGATGGAAATCTCCCTCAGGAATTAACCCAGTTCTGTGCTGGGGAGGGGACACCCCCAGGTGACCTGGCCCCAACCCTGCTCCTGGCAGGTCTCTCACCTGCAGCGCACAAAGCCTATAAACAGGGACTGGGCAGGGGCTTTCCTCCCCCTGGCCACTCCAGCCAGATATTACATTTTTCTTCCCTCACTCTCCAACTTCCCCCATTCCCCAGGCCCGGGCCCTGCCAACTTGCTGCATAAATAAACACAATCACTTCCCCCTGGGCCACTTGGGGGTCCCGGCCCAGCCCTGGCCTCCTCCCAAAGAAAACAGTTCCTTCCAGGAGAGGGCCAAGGGCTGCCCCACAGGATTCCTCCCAGCCCCTGGTAGCTGCGCAGACAAAAGTGTATATCCAGGAATTTTCACAAGGAAAGAGGCTTCAGATGTGAATACAGACCTGGCCGAGTGCTGACTGTTCCTGGAATGCGGGGTGGCTCTGGGAAAGCTGCTATGACTTTTAGAGCCACTTTTCTCACCTGCACAATAGAGTCACAGACTTCCCTCTATCCCTTACCCAGATGGGACTTAGGAAGCTTAGAATGGATTACATCAGAGCAAAAGCTCCCTATTTGGTAGGGGCGGGGGAGGGGGGACGGAAATGAGAGAAGAAAGTAAAAAGAAGGAAGCAAGAGGAAGATGAGAGGTCCTTTTCCAGACCCTCCCAAACCTCATTCAGCTCAATGCTTTCCCTTCTCTCTATTAAGACATCTTCAGGCTGGGCGTGGTGGCTCACACCTGTAATCCCAGCACCTTGGAATGCTGAGGTGGGAGGATCGTCTGAGGTCAGGAGTTCGAGACCAGCCTGGCCAACATGGCGAAACCCCATCTCTACTAAAAATACAAAAATTAGCCGGGCGTGGTGGCACACGACTGTAATCCCAGCTACTCGGGAGGCTAAGGCAAGAGAATTGCTTGAACCCAGGAGGCAGAGGTTGTGGTGAGCCGAGATCACACCACTGCACTCCTGCCTGGGCAACAGAACAAGACTCCGTCTCTAACTAAATAAATAAATGAATAAATGACATTCTCAACAGCTCCCTTGCGAGGTAACACCCAAATCATATTGGCTGGTGAACACCCATTATCTCAGCAGCACTACTCACCATAGCCCAAAGGTGGAAAAAACTCGAGTGTCACAGAGAAGGGATCATCTAGATGCGGTATAGCCACACAACAGAGGTTTCTTTCTTTTTGTTTTTGTTTTGTTTTTTGAGACAGCGTCTCACTCTGTCACCCAGGCTGGCGTACAGTGGCGCGATCTCGGCTCACAGCAACCTCTGCCTCCCAAGTTCAAGCAATTCTCCTGTCTTAGCCTCCCAAGTAGCTGGTGGGATTAGAGGTGCCTGCCACCATGCCCAGCTAATTTCTGTATTTTTAGTAGAGATGAGGTTTCACCATGTTGGCCAGGCTGGCCTTGAACTCCTGACCTCAAGTGATCCACCCGCCTCGGCCTTCCAAAGTGCTGGGATTACAGGCGTGAGCCACCGCACCCAGCCCACAACAGAGTATTAATCAGCCTTAAAGAGGAAGGAAATTCTGTCACATGCTACTACATGGATGAACTTTGAGGAAATCATGGTGAGTGAAGTCAGTTGGTCACGAAAAGTTAAGTACTGTATGATTCCAGTTAAATGAGGCATCTAAAAAGTAGTCAAATTCATCAGGTCTTGGTGAGTCATGCCTGCAACCCCAGCACTTTGGGAGTCCACAGTGAGAGGATCACTTGAGGCCAGCAGTTCAAGACCTAGCAAGATAGTAAGAACATGTTTCTACAAAAAATAGAAAAAATTACCCAGGTGTGGGCCTGTAGTCCCAGCTACTCGGGAGGCTGAGGTGGGAGGATCACTTGAGCCCAGAGGTTTGAGGTTGCAGTGAACTCACTCTGGTCTGGGTCCCCACCCCCAAAAAAAAAAATTATAGGCTGGGCGCGGTGGCTCAAGCCTGTAATCCCAGTACTTTGGGAGGCAGAGGCCAGTGGATCATGAGGTCAAGAGATCGAGACCATCCTGGTCAACATGGTGAAACCCTGTCTCTACTAAAAATACAAAAAATTAGCTGGGCATGGTGGCGTGTGCCTGTAATCCCAGCTACTCGGGAGGCTGAGGCAGGAGAATTGCCTGAACCCAGAAGGCGGAGGTTGCGGTGAGCCAAGATCGCATCATTGCACTCCAGCCTGGGTAACAAGAGCGAAACTCCGTCTCAAAAAAAAAAAAAAAATATATATGTATATATATATAAGTAGTCAAATTCCTAGATGCAGAAAGTAAAATGGTAGTTACCAGGAGCTGGAGGGAGGAAAAAATGGGAAGTTGCTCAGTGGATACAAAGTTTCAGAGACGTAAGAAGAAAGTTCTGGAGGAGACTTGTCACACAACAGTGTGAATATACTGAACACTACCGAACAGGACACTTAAACATGGTTAAGATGGCAAATCTTATGTGCTTTTTATAATTAAAAACTGAAGAGCCAGGGCAGGAAACTGTCCTAAAAGATAACTGGGGGTGGGGGATGGCCTGTAAAATCTCCAGACATGTTTCTAGTTCCTAGACAGTTACACAGCTTTGTTCTTTGGAGAGCTAGTTGTCTAGAACTTGAGAATCTGAGGGCAGGATCATAGCTGTTTGGGATCTGCATTTCTGACACACAGCAGGTGCTGGAGTACAGACGTTTCTGCCACAGAGACACACTATGTGTTGACCGAGTCAGGTGAGTGGATGCATGAACAGGAAAGTGAGTGATCGAGCAGCGTGTTTGCGAAGGTCAGAAGAGAGGGGTGCTTGTTATTGGATGGACTTCTCACAACACACCTGCTGGGCCTGAGAAGGGAGGGCGGGTTACTGACCTTTCATTGTAGAACTGCAGGGTGTTCTCACTAAACAGTGGTCCTGCCAGCTGACGAATCATCTGCAGAGACTTCTCACGCTCATCTAGCCCCAGCATCCGGACATGGGCCACAAGCCAAGCCACCGTACACACCGCCAGACTGCACACCTTCCCTTTGATGTTATCAGTGATTTTCTAGGGGAGAGGAAAGGTGATGGGTACCATCTATCTCCCATTCCTGGGCCATCACCTTCTCAGCCTCTGTGGGTATTTAAGTGCAGCTGGTGGAGTCCCCAGCGACATTCCACACCTCTCTCCACGAGTTTGATTTTTCCCAGAGCTACCTGGGCCAGAGGGAGTGGCTAAGACTAGATTATACAAAAGATCAATATCAAAACATGAGCTCCTTGGGCCAAGTGTGGTAACTCACACCCGTAATCCTAGCACTTTGGGAGGCTGAGACGGGCAGATCACAAGGTCAGGAATTCGAGACCAGCCTGACCAACATGGTGAAATCCTGTTTCTACTAAAAATACAAAAATGAGCCAGTTGTAGTGACACACACTTGTAGTCCCAGCTACTCGGGAGGCTGAGGTGGGAGAATCACTTGAACCCAGAAGGCAGAGGTTGAGTGAGCCGAGATCACTCCAGTGCCCTCCAGCCTGGTAACAAAGCAAGACTCTATCTCAAAACAAACAAACAAAACACATGAGCTCCTGGATTAAAGGTCTTTTTGCTGTCATGAAATATAACAAGCCATCACTGGCTGGCTCACGGGAACAAAGGCTGCTGGGAAGGCGGGGCTACCTGGATGGACTCGAAAGCCAGGACCCCGTTCTCCCAGGCATTGAGGATTTCCAAGATGGTGGCTGAGATGCTGAGACAGGCCTCGTGCCACTTCATCTGCCTGTGGATGTGCGTGGGAGAAGTCACCACAGGGAAGCAGGGGACAGGCTCAGGGAGAGAGTCTTGGCCGTGCCCCCACCACCACCCTTGGAATGGGCGCCTGGGCCATTGACACCAGCTTCATCTCTGAGGAGTTGTTGAGCAGGGCCACCAGGGACTCCACTTTGGTGGAGTTGGGGCGGAAGCAGGGGTGGTCAGGGTTCAGGATCTTGCCCTCCTCAGGCATGCAGGTCTGCATCCAGGTCTCGAAGAAGGGTACCTCAGCTCCTGAGCGCGACTCAGACAGAATCACCTGGGAAAGGGGAAGAGGGGGCACCAGCCGAGTGGAGGGTGCGGCGCCTGCCAGCGCTAGACCTGGGGCTGCACTGTTTCCTGTCACGTTGCTGCTCCAGCCCAGCCTGAAGACTGGGGACAAACCGGTCCAACGGAGGCAGACAGGGCCTATGCTGCCACCTAGTGGTCAGTGTAGCATGGGGCTGAAGGGGGCCTCTGCAGACTCCAGCCCGGGTGGGCACTTGGTTTCTGAGGCCCACAATACCGACTGGCTGAGAGGCTGTGGCGGGGCGGGTGGTGAGGTGGGGAGAATTCCGGGTTACCTTCTTCCCCTGAGCCCCCGTCCCGGCCACTCCCCTCTTCCTCACCTCTGAACCATAGGTCTGGGCCACGTGGCACAGCATGAGGAAGGAGATGTCAAACAGCATGGCCCGGACAGAGGCCGGTTTGGCTGTGGAAGGACAGGACAGCTGAGCTACCAGGGAGAGCCCATGTCTGGGTGGATGGGGATCAGGATTTGTCTCTAGGAAGGTAAGGGACCACGTGGCTCCTTCAAATCTCTGAGGCTCAGAATCCTTTTCTTGAGTCTCAGTTGGAACATCATCCCTTCCTTGAGACCAAAGGCCCCCAGCACCCTCTTCCAGCATACCCAACCAAGTCATAAGGGGTGGGGGAAACGAGACACAGGGATGGTCTGGGAAGAATCCTTCTCTAGCATTACCCACTTCTGAGCTCTGTGGAAGCTTCCATCAGTCATGGCTCTAAGGAGGCAGCACAGCCTCCCCGCGTTGAGCCCAGGTGCCCTCCTCCCTCCCGCACACCCTCCTCCCTCCCACACTCTCCCTCCACACCCCTCCTCAGATCCCACTGGGCCTGCGGATGCACAGGGCTGACTTACTGCTTTCTTCGCTGTCATAGGTTGTGAATTCATTCAAACTGAAAGGAATGGAGACAGGTTGCATTGACCAGAGCACGAGCTGAGCAGTAGCTGGGCGCTGGGGGCTACACATGCTCAGAGAGTGGTCGCTAGAGTCTGAGTTACAGGTTAAACTTAAAAGGAGACATGCTGCTACAGGAAAAGTATTACTATTTGTTTGTTTGTTTGTTTTGTTTTGTTTTTTGAGACAGAGTTTCGCTCTTGTTACCCAGGCTGGAGTGCAATGGCGCGATCTCGGCTCACCGCAACCTCCATCTCCTTGTTCAGGCAATTCTCCTGCCTCAGCCTCCCGAGTAGCTGGGATTACAGGCACGCACCACCATGCCCAGCTAATATTTTGTATCTTTAGTAGAGACGGGGTTTCACCATTTTGACCAGGAGGGTCTTGATCTCTTGACCTCGTGATCCACCCGCTTTGGCCTCCCAAAGTGCTGGGATTACAGGCGTGAGCCATTGTGAGAAGATTTCCATGGCCTAGAGAACGGCTCACTGAATGGTACCATGTTCTATATGTCAGATTCTAGGGCAACCAGAAAAGGCAACAGAATTTGAGAGCTGCTTATTAATAACTGGGCATACTCGGAATGCCTCCACGTCCAGTGTTCAACGCCTCAACCTTTACCCTCATCTCTTTACCAAACACATCCACTCCATCCTCAGCTGAAGAGAAAAGAACACTTAGGTTGTGAGAACAGGTCCTTTCTACAAGATCTCCAGCCAGGGTGCTCTGCCTAGGCCCGTGGGTCTCTGGACGAGACACAGACCCAGGCACCTGACTCCTACCCTGCTACCTCCTGCCAACACGCATGGCTTCCCCGCATGCCCTGGGGTCAGGAGCTTGGCCTTCCTCACTTGATGAATTTCCGGGCGAAGGATTTCAGCTTTCCAGTGGCAGCAGCAGCAGCCAGTAGCAAGTCCAGACTCTTCCCGGATAGCATGTGGCCCAGGACGCCCAGCAGTCCCTCCGGGGACTTAGAGTGGTCTGCATCCATTGTCTGGAGACAGGACAGGAAATCAAGTCCTGAAGAACACTGAAGACCTCCCACCCAAGATACAGCCTAGCCACATCTTCTCTCTTCCACAACCTAGAATGTAATCTACAGCTTTCTGATTTCAATCTGGAAAATTGTTCCTAAAACTTATCCTTGCTCTCCGATCCATCCCTGTCATCTACACTGGTATGAAGGTGGTAAGGTTGGGGTGGGCAAGGTCACAGCTGGGAACTTCTCTGTCATTTCCTTTTTTTTTTTTGAGATGGAGTCTCGCTTTATTGCCCAGGCTGGAGTGCAGCAGTTGTGCAATCTCAGCTCACCATAATCTCCACCTCCCAGGTTCAGCGATTCTCCTGCCTCAGCCTGCCAAGTAGCTGGAATTACAGGTATGCACCATCACACTAGGTGAATTTTGTGTTTTTAGTGGAGATGGAGTTTCACCACATTGGCCAGGCTGGTCTCAGACTCCTGACCTCAAGTGATCTTCTACCTCAGCCTCCCAAAATGTTGGAATTACAGGTGTGAGCCACCACGCCCCAGGCCTCTGTTGTTTCCCTGAGACAGCCTAAGAGAAAGTGCTTACTGCAGCGCCTGATGTACAAATGAAGCTCCCATGGGTTACCATTCAGTGGTAGCTGCCCTTGCCTCCCCTTTCACTACCTCCAAAGCAACTATGTGTAAAAGCCAAAGGCAACAGAGGTCTGAGGCCTCTGTTTATTTATCTGCAAGCAGATAGAGCACTGGGAAGAGGAAAGACCGTGGTGACCAGGGAAGGGCATACTCACCTTGAGGATGTTTGTGACAGTGGGTTCTGCCCGGAGGATCAGCTGGATGTTGGGCTGGATGTTGGCATTCTCTCCCGATTTCTGCTGGGGTGCGTGCTCCCGGTCTGCTTTTCTGTGGACATCACCAGTTATACAAGGAAGAGAAGAGGAATGGAGAGAAATTCTTGACACATTCCCTTGTTCAAGCCCAGAAGCAAATGCACAGAGGAGGTGGGACACACATAAGAACCTCTAAGGTTGGAGTGAAGTTTATGGAAGCATAGTCAATATCGCAATCACTGATTTATCATTAGTATTTTTTTTTGAGACAGTCTCACTCTGTCACTCAGGCTGGAGTACAGTGGAACAATCTCAGCTCACTGCAGCCTCTGACTCCCAGGTTCAAGCGATTCTCAGGCTGCAGCCTTAGCCTCCCGAGTAGCTGGGCGCTCACAATGCCTCGCCATTTTTTGTATTTTTAGTAGAGATGGGGTTTCACCATGTTGGCCAGTCTGGTCTCAAACTCCTAACCTCAGGAGATCTGCCCACCTTGGCCTCCCAAAGTGCTGGGATTACAGGCATAAGCCACTGCACCTGGCAATTTATCATTAGTCTTTTTCTTTTTTTTGAGACGGAGTCTCGCTCACTGCCCAGGCTGGAATGCAGTGGTAAGACCTCAGTTCACTGCAACCTCTGCCTCCTGGGTTCAAGTGATTCTCCTACCTCAACTTCCTGAGTAGCTGAGATTACAGGCCGCATCACCAAACCTTGCTAATTTTTCTATTTTTGGTAGAGATGGGGTTTCACCTGATCTTGTGATCCACCTGCCTCAGCCTCCCAAAGTGCTGGGATTAAGGCATGAGCCACCCCGCCCAGCCTATGATTCATCTTAAATGCTCTGAAAGCAGATTTAAGATTAAAAGAAGATTCAGAATTTTTATTTATTTATTTTTTTGAGACAAGGTCTCACTCTGTTGCCGAGGCTGGAGTGCAATGGTGCAATCTCAGCTCACTGCAATCTCCACCTCCTGGGTTTAAGCAATGCTCATGCCTCAGCCTCCCAAGTAGCTGGGATTACAGGTGCACACCACATGCCCAGCTGATTTTTGTATTTTTAGTAGAGATGGGGTTTTGCCATGTTGGCCAGGCTGGTCTTGAACTCCTAGCCTCCAAGTAATCCACCCGCCTCCGGCCTAGGGTTTTTACTTTTATCACAAAGATGGGTATGAGTTAAAGAGCAGTGACTAAGAGTGTAAAACTCTGGTCTGAAGACACTGGTGCCTTCTTTTCCTTCCTGTTCCCTGTACCCTGAGGCATGATCCCAGTCACTTGCAGCCTACACTTTAGACAGAAGGTTGAAAGGCACCCAGCAGGCCCATCGTAACAAGAAAGAGATCAAGGGGCTCTTGGGGTAGCCCAGGTGCGCTCACACTTACCGCTTAGTCATAAGGTTGTTCACGCTGGCCTCAGACAGAAGCCCCTGCTTGCCACATTCTTGGAGCAGGAAGTTTGTACAGTCACAGCTGCGAGGGAGAAAGAGGCTGAGGGAACTGTGCACCTGGCTGGGATGCTGGGAGGCAGAGGGAGCAGCAGGTCCCTGAGCATCCTCCTCCCTCTTTCAGGATGAGGAAAATCTGGAGTGCCTGAGGGACAGTAGAGGGGCTCTGGGGACTTGACAACTATGGGCTGCTGCTTCCTGCCCCTGCCAAGGGGAGTGAACAAGGGGACAGAGTCCCCTGAAGCTTCTCAGGCGCAGATCAGGGAAGAGCCCAGAACACCTTCCAGTAGGGCAGGGGTGAGCAGGGGAGCTCATACTTGCAGCGCTGGTCAGCTTTGTCCAACAAGGGTGTGAGCTTCAGCAGGAACTCAAAAGCACAGTTGACATCCTCAGTGAAGTCCTAAAAAGAGACAGAAGTGTCTACCTGGTTTCCAGGTCCTCTGCTCCTCCCTCAGCCTGCAGTGCAGGCTCACAAGGACACGCTGCTGGATACACAGCCTGTAAGCAGGCCCTGCCCACCGCTGGCTCCCAGCGACTGGCTGGGGAGAAGTACGCGGCATCACTGCTCCCCACAGCGCCACCCGGCCCTTATCATCTCAGGCAAGCTTGACTGCTGGAGGCATCAGCCTGAGCTGCCTAGCTGCCTTCTGCCTGGAGCCTGGGTATATGCTGTGGGTGCACGCACACGCTGAAGTGAACGCACACACACTGAAGCACACACACACTCTAACACAGGTGCACATGCTGAAACACACATAAACTGAAGCACACGCACACTGAAGCATACTCATGCTGAAGCAGGCGCACACACTGAAGCACATACACATACTGAAGCGCACACACACTGAAGTACACGCACACTGAAGCACACACACACTGAAGCACACATACACACTGAAGCACACACACACACTGAAGCACACACACACTGAAGCACACATACACACTGAAGCACACACACTGAAGCACACACACACACTGAAGCACACACACACTGAAGCACACACACACTGAAGCGCACGCACACTGAAGCACACACACACTGAAGCACACACATACTGAAGCACACGCACACTGAAGCACACACTGAAGCACACACACTGAAGCGCACACACACAAGTACACGCACACTGAAGCACACACACACTGAAGCACACATACACACTGAAGCATACACACACACTGAAGCGCACACACACTGAAGCGCACACACACTGAAGCGCACGCACACTGAAGCACACACACACTGAAGCACACACATACTGAAGTACACGCACACTGAAGCACACACTGAAGCGCAACACACAAGTACACGCACACTAAAGCACACGCACAGTGAAGCACACATACACACTGAAGCACACACACACACTGAAGCACACACACACTGAAGCGCACACACACTGAAGCGCACATACACACTGAAGCACACACACACTGAAGCACACACACACTGAAGCGCACACACACTGAAGCGCACACACATTGAAGCACACACACACTGAAGCGAACACACACTGAAGTGCACACACACTGAAGCACACACACACACTGAAGCGCACACACACTGAAGCGCACATACACACTGAAGCGCACACACACACTGAAGCACACACACACTGAAGCGAACACACACTGAAGTGCACACACACTGAAGCACACACAAACTCTAAAGCGCACACACTGAAGCACACACACACTGAAGCACACACACACAAGCATGTACACTGAAGCGCACACACACTAAAGCACACACGGAAGCGCATGCACACACTGAAGCACACACGCAAACTGAAGCACACACACTAAAACATACACACACTGAAGCACACTCATGCTGAAGCAGGTGCACACACTGAAACACAGTGAAGCACATACACACACTAAAGCACACACACACTGAAGCACACACACTAAAGCACATACACAGCAAAGCACACACACACTGAGGTGCACACATGCACACATGCATCCAGCTCTCTTCCAGGCATGAGAACACTGCCCGGTTGGGGCCTGAAGGACCCTTCCCTTGCCCTTGTTTTTGCTCCCATGACTCCATCTCAATTCCTCAACTCACCTTGTCCCCATGAAAGTCTTTCTTCAACTTCACCAAACCTGTGGAATCAAGGGGTGAGGCAGAGGGAAAAACAGCAAGATCTGTTTCTTTTCTCTTTCATCTACCCCTGAAGACCTCCCCGCAACCCCCTCCTCCAAGGAAAGAGACAGGAACAGTTCTGCCCTGGGAGTGAGAGCACACTTAGAGCTAAATGACAGCCAAGGCCGGGCGCTGTGGCTCACACCTATAATCCCAGCACTTTGGGAAGCTGAAGCAGGTGGATCACGAGGTCAAGAGATCGAGACCATTGTGGTCAACAAGGTGAAACCCCGTCTCTACTAAAAATACAAAAAAAAAAAAATTAGCTGGGCATGGTGGTGCGCGCCTGTAGTCCCAGCTACTCGGGAGGCTGAGGCAGAAGAATTGCTTGAACCCAGAAGGCGGAGGTTGTGGTGAGCCAAGATTGTGCCATTGCACTCCAGTCTGGGTAACAACAATGAAACTCCATCTCAAAAAAAAAAAAGAGCTAAATGACAGCCAGTAGGCACCTAGGTCCCTTATGCCCCCAGGCCGAGGCACAGGACACAGGGACCCTGCACCTCTGCTCAGAAAAAATGCCATAAGCAAAAGTAGATCCCCAGCTTCAAGGAGGACTGGGGCCCCTTTCCCTGGCTCCCCTCACTGCCCCACACCAATCTGTCTGAGGACCAAGCTAAACTGCACCTCTGTGGCGGGAAACAACAGAGTTTGCCACATGGGCTAAATATAGCCCTGGCACTTTTAGAGAAAATGATCAATGGGAACGTGCACTGGGATACCTGGCAGGCTGGGCCCAGCGCCCGCAGGGAGAAACACAGGGCAGAGGTCCAGGGTGCCGCTGCTCTTCCTGAGAACCATTCCTAGACTGGCTCACGTCCCTGGTACCTTGAGGAAAGTGAAAGCCGTCCACTTGAGCTCCTCTGTACCCTCGGAGACTCAATGAGCCCCACAAGCAAGCTTTCCAGATCTCCAGGACAAAAAAGTGGGGTGGGGATATGCTGTGGGAAGAGCCAAGGTTGAGGCCTAAGAGGGTGCCTGTACCCCGTCATCCCTCTATGGACACCCAAGGATTTGGCTGGGTCAGAGACTGCATGGCAGAGTAACTGCCCAGCTCTGTGCTGAGAACCAGAGGTGTAAGGTCCAATGACATAAGTGTACACGCCCGGCACCCACTATCCATCACAGAGCAGGAGAAACCCACAGAGCCAGAAGAATCCTCCCTCCTACCCCCAAAAGGCTGGCCCACCTTGGGGAAGGGAGAACCACTCAGTCACTCACCTGCATGCGCTTCACCATCGTCAGCTGCTCCACCAGGGACTGCGTCTCGCCTGTCAGGTTCATGGTGCCCTCGAGCAGGATCACAGCATGGACAGTGGGGAACCCAGTCTTGTGCATCTGCTCCGCATGCACAGACAGCATCGTGGGGATGCTGAGGGGTCACAAACACAGGGGACAGCATTTGCAGGGGCCAAAGGTGAAGGTGGAGGGGAGTGCACCAGGTGCCACATCTTCCCACCCCAGGCGTGTCCTCCCTCTCCCTCCATCACCATCCCCCAGGGAGCCACTACCTCCTAATGAGGGTGCCCACACTGTTCGGCCCTGGCTCCAGAGCTGGGGGTTGCTGAGATTGGCCAGGATCTCTCCAAGTTTCAAGAGAGAATGCTCAATGGCAGTCCAGGAGGCTGGCAGAGGAAGGAAGGTGCAGAAACGGATGGGAAACAGGGGAGAGGGAGCGCCTGGCCCCAAACTCTTTGATTTGGCACCCCCTCTGGCATTCAAAACCACACAGGAAGGCTTCCCCTCAGGACAACAGGGAGGCAGGGGCCTGAGGGCAGCATGCACGTTTCCAGAGGAGGGTGGGCACCTAGAGTTGGAAACCCTAGAGACCATTTCCAAAGGCCTGACTTCCAGGGGACACAGCCAGCTGACTTCACAGGTGTGGCATCACACAGGCTCAGGAGAGAGAGGCAGAGGGAGGTTAGAGTCCAGTAGCTGGAACAGGGAGTGTGCCGGCAAATCACTCGAGGAGTGGGCGGATTCTAATCCAGCCTTGCGAGGCTGTCCCTCTCCCCTGGGGGTGCTGGGATCCCTGAATGGCCTCCCCATTCTCAACCACTCCCTCATCTAGGCAGCACACTTGCTGCCCTCCCCTGCTGAAGGCCTCTCTCACACACCCTCTCTCAAACTCCCACCATGCTCTAAGCCCCTCTGGTCAAGCCCCAGTTCCTTTAGCAACTCACCCAACTGGTCTAACTCACTGTTCTCTCCTTCCTAATGCCCTACTCATGGTCCTAAGCCATATCAGTTAGCACTGAATTATAAGTTACTTCTCCTAGTTACAATTCCAGAGGGTCAAATGATGAATATGGCACCAACTAGCCCATTAACCTCCATGGAGCACAGAAGGGGAAAAAAAGACAAGACCTGAGAGCCATTAAAATTCAGTCTTCATCCGATTTTCAGCCAGTAAACATTTATCAAGGGTCAAGGTAGGTAAGAGCTGTCAACGCAGTCCATTTTTATATAATGATTGTCTTTTTTGACTTTTCACAGGCAGTAAAACATACTTGGGGAAGAAATAAAATACACTAGTCCTAAAACAAGCTCTCCAACCAGGTCCTAAAGTCTCGGGAGTAACCCATTCTAGCAATCTTGTCCCTGGAGAACAAGAGATCTGTAGGGGTCCCAAGCACGTGGGCTTCAAGGAGCAAGACTATGGCCTTAGGACCCCATTGCTGGAAATACGGCATCTCTTCCTCCCGCCATGGTGCTCTGTCTGTTCTCAGGCTCCGGAGAAGACTCACAACTTAACATCTGAACTTGAGGCAAGAGGCCTATGGTCCAACAGCCAACAGCAGCAGCCTGTGTTCCAAGGAGCATTTTAGGTAATATTCAAATACAGAGGCATTTGCTTCCAGACGATGAGTACATGGAGACAAACACAGTAACAGACGATGGGCTTGTCTTGTCCTCTAGTTTTTTCCACATCTGTGACATACTAGTCTTGCTAACCCACTAGCAGCATGATGTTGTGAGGGCAGGGACCCTGCCACATGCTCCTTTGATAGCCCCCCCACCCCCCGCCCAGCACCTAGCACAGGTGCTGGGAGTACGACAATGTTCAGTAAATACCGGTTGGTTGATTGGCTCGGGTGCCCCCCTGCCCAAGTCCCTGGGATGTTGTGCATGCTTATGGGGAGAAAAAAAAAGGAAGTGGGATGGTTTCAGATCCTGGCTGGAAAGAAGTGGGGTGGCATCCTGCCTCTCCCTTGTCAATTAAAGGACCGCTAGGGGGGGGACAAGCAGTGGCAGGTGGGGCTCAGGGAATCAGGGGACATACAGGGCCTCCTCTAGTTTGGCGATGTGCAGCAGGGCCCGGTTCTTGGTGCTGCTGAGGGTTTTCTCCAGGCGCTGAAGGCACATGGCAAGCTGCTTCTCCCCAGCTGCTGGAGTGCTGGCCTCCAGCCCCTCCCGGAGCCACTCTGCAGAGGCTGCCGTGCAGCGCAGCAGCCAGTGGGAGGGCGCTGAGAAGGGCTCGGCACAGTCCGATGCACTCCTCAGCTTTGCCGTGACAGCTACCGGGAAGGATGCAAAATCAGAGCCTCTGTTCTTCCAATGCCTGAAATCCAACCCACCCCAATGGTCCCCAGAGTCCCTGCACTTCCCTACTAGGAACTAGGGCTGAGAAGCTAACAAAGTCCTGGGGAAGACGCTTAGCCCCTTTGGCTTCTACTGGACAGATTTCAAATGAGCTACTCCAGACAGAGAATATCTGTCCTAAGGGAGCAAGGAAGGAGGGGATGGGTGAGCATGGATGGGCAGGTGGGTGAAAAAAGTGAGAACCAGAGCTGGTCTTGGTCTGTGTGCTAGGAGCTTCACCTCTGCACTAAGACAAGGCTGAACGTTGTGAGCCCCTTACCCCTGCCTTACCTCAGACGGTCACAAAACATGTCCATGATGTCCAGCAAGCCTGGACACACAGGTCCCGGGAAAAAGTCATCAAACTGCGGAAAGAACCGTGAGATGCTACGGAACGCCCCCGTTCACCCCCAGGGCCTCACACAAGGCAGAGAGTGCATTCAGGATTCCTCCTCTCTCCTCCAACTTGGGTTCCAGACTCAGCATCCTCAACGCTGGACATTGCTTCCAATCACCAGCCCCGACTTGCCGGGACCCCCCTCCCACGGAAGGCCAGCAATGCCGGCCACAGGCATCATGTGCTACCTGCCCAGCCTCATGGGTCACAGATCGGGCCGCCCGCCAGGGAGGTGGGCCTTGTCCTGTCATCTTCCACCTAGCTCCGGAGTGTCTATAGTCATATCCTACTGATGGCTGTGAGGACAGAAGAGTATGACACCATCTGGAGGGAAGGAAGAAAGATAATCCTTAGACCACTCATCTCCCGCAGCTGAGAGGAACAAACACTGCTACTTCAATTGCTGCAGCGCTCCTGAACCTCAACCCCTTCAAGAGGCTGTCCTCAACCCAGGGAGGGAGAAGCAGGTCACTGTGCTCTGCCTGTTCCTGCTTCTGTCAGACTCACTGCAAATGGTATCAGCATAAGTCCATCAACCAGATGATTTTGGGGGATACTCAAAGGCTCCACGTTTTCATGTTCACATGCTACTTATTGTCCTCAATAAGTGTGGGTTAACTGACAGCTGGCAGGCAGAAGCATGGGCAAGAGTGAAGTCATGTCACTGTATTCCTATAACTTCTGGCAAGAACAGGGGCCTCATCTGGGTAAGAACTAGAGACAAACATTTCCTGCACCATAAAACAAGGAGTGGCCTGGCGTGGTGGCTCACACCTGTAATCCCAGCACTTTGGGAGGCTGAGGAGGGCGGATTACCTGAGGTCAGGCGTTCGAGACCAGCCTGGCCAACATGGTGAAACCCCATCTCTACAAATATACAAAAATTCACCAGGTACAGTGGCACATGCCTGTACTCCCAGCTATTCAAGAGGCTGAGGCAGGAGAACTGCTTGAGGCTCGGAGATGGAGGCTGCAGTGAGCCAAGATAGTGCCACTGCACTCCAGCATGACTGACAGTGAAACTGTGACTCTCAAAAAAAAAAAGAAAGAAAAGAAGGGAAAACAGGGAGTAAGTTTTACTGTATAAACTCTTACTTGTTCTTCAGGACTTACGCTCTAGGACCCATCCGGGACACCTTCCCGACAAGCCCAACCTCCCCATCAAAGCTGAACCCCTCCTCTGTGCTCCAAGTAATCACCTTAGTCATCATTACATGGCAGGTCCCTGCAGTCCCACTAAAGTAGGAGCTCCTTGAGGACAAGGACATTTCACTCAGTGACCACCACAAGCTTGATGTTTGCAGAATGAATAAATAAAAACACACTTTTAGCTCAGCATGACTCAAAGTAGCTTCCACAGCTGCCTATCCATTAGAGAAGTCACTAGCCCCATGTGGCTGTTTAAATGTAAATTAATTAAAGTAAATATAAATTTAAATGCATTTCCTCAGTCACACTAGCCACATTTCAAATGCTCCATGGCCACAGGTGGCAGTGGCTTCTGTACTGGACAGTGCAGATAAGAACATTTCTATCACAAAGTCCATGCTGTTACAGAAGTCTCAGGCTGTTAAGAAATGTCACACCACACACACCATGGGCTTGTGTGTG